TATACAATATATTCGAAAGGATAATAACAAGGATTATTAAGTGGATGAGCACAATGGAGAGAAAATGAATCGTTTCGAAAAGAGAACAGGGAAGAAAAAGATGGATAAATACAAATGAATAGAGAGAAAGTGACAGATGGAAGAACAGGAAGATGATTAAGTTTTAAGCTCGGAGATAAAACGTGACGAAATGAATGAAGGGAATGAGAAATAATGATAACGGCGATGAATGGAATACGGTGATAATGGCTATAACTGGAATAACGCTGATGATAAGTGGAATAACGACGATGGAGATAAACGCGATGACGATGATGCCGGCGCCCAAGGCCTCCCGCCGCCCCTTAGCGACACCCGCAGCTCTTGGCAACCATGTCGGGGTACTGCTTGAGGACCACGTTGTTCGCCTCGTCGTAGTACAGCAGGGAGATGGCCTCGAGCTGGGTGGGGACGCAGCTGGGGCCGCGACCTCTGCCCTGGAGCTCCCGACGGAGGGCGGCCACGACGGCGTGGTTGGTGGCCGTGTTGTGGGACTGGAGGGGGAAGGTGCAGCGGCCGTTGCAGGAGCCCGCCTCGTAGCCTGGGGGAGGAGAGGCATGTTAGTGTGTTAGATATATGTCGTGTTATGGATGAATATACATGTATTCTGCTATTTGTAGGTATGCCATTTATTGTCATGATCTGTATATCATGTTCAACCTTTGTGCGGATAGACTAGTCATTTAAGGATGCATATATTGGATTCGGGATGTGTTTTTTTCTGTAGACATGATATTGAGGATGCATTTTTTTGTGCGTTAGTGGTTTGTTGTTGTCATGGGACTCACCCGTGGGAGCGATGATCCAGGAGTTCCATCCGATTTCCCTGAAGTTGACGTACATGGAGCGCAGCTTACAGGCCTTCTTCCCGCGGCCCTTCTTGTTGGCGCCGTGAGCACCCCTCCGCACGCGGCTCCCGGAAGCCTCCTCGTTGAAGTAATCCTCGTACAGTTCGTCTTCCACGTCTTCTTCCTCCTCCTCCTCCACTTCCTCGTCCTTCTGGAGGCCCTGTGGCGGGTAGGAGAGCTCCCCTCGGGAGGAGCAAGCCGAGGTGTCGTCCCAGGCGACCATGAGGGAAGCCTCCCACTTCATGCCGCTGCAGCCAGCGTCCTCCTGCGAAAGGGGAAAGGGCCAGTCAGTTTCATTCATCGTCAGCATTAACAAATTGGCATACCATTGATTAATATATATAAGAAACGTATTGCGAGGGATAATGGTCTTACCCGGAGGTGCTCGGTGCCGGCAAAAGCGTTGGCGACGTCAGCGAGAGGCCGGACTGTGACCGCGACGCGAGGGCCGCTCCCGTTACTCCACGCTTGGGCCTCAGCTGTGACGTCAAACACGGCGTCTTCACCCTCGGCAATGATCTGGGCAGAGAGAGAAAAGGACGTGTTATATGATTTAAAAATCTCAATGCTTCTGGTGTTTCTCATTCATGTATGAAGTGAAAATCTCTTTGTCATTGTTTTGTGAATCTGGGATAACGCGTCCGCACTGCATAGATCTGGCAGCAAAGAATTAACAAGGGAGCGAAGTGACGGACGCAACGCATCTGCACTCATAAACAAAGCATTAGTAGGCACGTGTTTCGAACGCCACCCATGTAGTAAGCACGTGTTGCTGATACAATCCATGTGTGATGACAAACACAAGGTTGTCCTCATGTATTTATTCATCGGTGTGTGACTCATACTGACACTCACTGAATCCTGACGAGTGATACAGGCTGACGACAGGAGGTGCCACAGCGTATGACAAACCCGGAGTGGAAAAGTTACAGGATCCCTTTTTTGACAGCTCGTTATCAGAATAAAAAATGACAGTTCAATAAAAAGTCTTTGTCCGGCCCGCTTTTTGAATATAAGATTTTACGCGCTATTAATAAAATCGCTATCTTCTTTGGAAAGGACAAAATCGTGCAAATAATCCCAAACAACGAGGATCACCAAAAGGAGGATCCCAGCGCAAAAGGGGCATCCGGCCCGATACCATCTACATATTCCTTTGTGGGTTTCGACCCCCCCCCCTGTGAGTCACATGCGCTTATACATCTCCGAGAATGGATTAATGCTTATATGAATCGTCTTTTGGCAGCGAATGTGTACGGCGCTGGGGTGAGCAACGAGTGCAGCTGAATGAACCAATGTCCTTTCCTCAATCGAAAATCAGCTCAGAACCGCGTTTGCCTCAAGTATCGTACTGTTAGCTAAATGGCTCAGCGCGCATGCAGGATCGGATTCCCTTTGGTTCACGAATGGGGTTCAGGGAAAAGGTTAAAAAAACAAAAGCAAGCCTCACCTTCTTCCGCGGGGCAGTCGTGTTGTCCAGAAAGGCCAGCGTGACCTCAAGAAGGGCGGCGGTGTGTGGCTGGTGATGGTGCTGGCTCTTCTTGTGGGCGTGCTTGTTGTGGGCGGTCTTCCTCTTGTGCTTGTGGGCGGCTTTGTGCGGGAGTTCGACATGG